CCCGCCACAACGCCTGGCCATTTTTTGGTTGCAGCCATCATTGTTGTTTGGCGGGCCCAGGCTGGGGATTCGAACCCGCCACCTTAGGTCTATGTGGCTGGCGCCTTAGCCGCTTGAGCCACAGGCGCCAAGCCCTAGAATGCTATCTAGAATGGACAGGGAAAGAGGTAAGTTTTGAGCTGGACCTGGTAGGATATGTAGAATTTCTGTAGGCAGGGAGTTGGGAAAAGCCTTCTTTAGATGTGTAAACAGCACAAGGTATCTTTAGATGTGTAAACAGCATGTGGAATGGCAGGAAAAAAGACATTGTGTTTGGGGACTGGGGACACTGTGTACAAGAGTGTTTTTAGGCTGGAGAAGAGTGTTATGGAGGTAATGAGAAGGCAGCTGCAGATTTGGGTTGGGATGAGGGTTTGAAGGCACAGCCAGGGAGTTTGTGGGGAAGTATTTTAGATTTGGGTCATAATTTCAATATAATAATTATAATTATATATTAATTAGATATATGTAATGATATAGGGAAGAATTATTTTAAAACTATTCCAAAGAGATTTGATACAGTGTAATAGCTATGAGGCCAGTTAGGAAGCTACTCTTGATAAAAAGGGCAAGATCTCTTCCTTTCAACCAGAGATCCCATTTTTCAGTAATTCACCAAAATAATGAACACAAAGGCAAAGAGGAGAGGCCTGTTACATGTTCTCTAGGCCTTTTAGAAAATAAGGAGTTGTTCCTTTGCCCACATACATGCCAATCTGTAAGAAAGGTGATCTAGTAGAAATCAAGGGGCAAGATTCCTGCCAAGAATATTAATGTTTGTAGTAATATTAAGCACTCTAACTGCCAAGGCAACTTCCTAAAACACGTGAAGGAAAATGATCAGCAAGAGAAGGCAGCCAAAGAAAAAGGTACCTGGGTTCAACTGACGCGCCAGTCTGCTCCACTCAGAGAAGCCACACTCTGTGCGAACCAGTGGAGAGAAGCCTGAGCTGCCAGAACCTATGCCCCTCTGAATTCCTGGCATAAGAGTTGTAAGAAACAAAAGGCTACTGTAAAAAAATACAAATTTAAAAGGGCAGGATTAGAGAATGGCAGGGCATATAGAAACAAAACTGCTCAATGTTAGGCAAGGCGCGGTGGCTCATGCTTGTAATCTTAGCACTCTGGGAGGCCCGGGCGGGTGGACTGCCTAAGCTCACAGGCTAAGGTGACCAGACATCCCACTTTTGGCGGGATAGTCCCAATTTTTAACAATTTGTCCTGTGTCCCACAGCATTTTTAAAAAGTCCTGATTTTTGGAAAGAATGCACGACAAGCTAGGGAACAGCGGGAGAACGGGAAGGGAATATACAGTTTTTGACTGCCATGTGGCTATTTCGCCAGGATATGAGTTTTATATTATTTTTGTTAATTTTACAATGTTAAACTTTAATAATAACAAATAATTGTTGAGAACTGATTATCGAGAACTGCTTATCAAAGTTTGCACTGTTGATCAGTTGTTAGAATTCAACCACCATTGTTTGGACTTAATGAACAATGGCATTTTTTGGCATTGGCAACTACGAAAACATTTTGTAACTGGCTCTCAAACAATACACATCATACTGCGTGCTAGTGCTAGTTAAACAAGTGATGTCAACAAATCAGCTATTCAGATAATTTAGGTAAGTAATTTATTTACTTATTTCATGAATTTAGCAGACAGTACTCGTATTATTTATATTTTATAGTGGTGGCAAAAAGTCTAGCAGTGGCCTTGAAAGTGACACTTACGGCTCAGCACCTGTGGCTCAAGTGGCTAAGGCTAAGGTGGCAGGTTTGAATCCAGCCCGGGCCCACCAAACAACAATGATGGCTGCAACCAAAAAATAGCCAGG